GTCCAGGTGAGCTCTTATGATCATGTTTAGTCTGGTGGTATTTTTATCCTTTTTAAATCTTAGTTATTTATTCATTAGGTTAGCACTTGAAGCCTCAGTTTTGACCACACTGTATTTATCCAATATGTGGAAAGCCACAGCATTAGTCCTTGCTTTAAGGAACTTAGATTAAATATGATAATGTGAATGTGTCTCTATTTTTACAACCTTTTTAATGAAGCCAAGTTTTTCAAGGACAGCCCAGCTTTTTTAGGGAAGTACACACACAGACTGGTAAGTGTGATATCTCTGCCTCATTCCACTCTCAGGCACTGAGGTTTGGGCTGGTGCTTCTGGTCTTCTCAAACACAATCTTCACAATCTGACCTTTTTTGGTTTTTTGGTTTTTTGTGGTTTTTTTCTCCAAGTTTTACCTGCAAAGAAAATTTTGGAAATGTGGTGTGATTGGTGATTGTACCTAGCAGCAATATCTGCCTGGGTCTCCAGCCAGCCTGACTGTCTGCCTGCTCTCAGCAGCTGTTTGTCCCAAAGCAAGAAACGAATTGCTGCTCAGGAGGGAAAAGCCTGTTTCACCTTCCCCAGTCCTGGAACTGCTGACCTAGACTAGCTGTAGACAGGACAAGGAAATTGTCTGGAGATCCAAGTGCTCCTGTTTGCCTGAGTAAAACTGAGAGGGAGAAAAGAGGGATCCACCAGAAGGTGCAACTTCCAGCCCCTGTTTATGAACAGCATTCATTTTAGCAGTGCTGTTTTTGGGAGGAAAAGTTCACAGTAAGAAGTCCTGAAGTCCTCAAAATGATGCTGCATTAGAGCCTGGTGGTGCCTTACAGTGGCTTTTGAGTTCGTGTGCAGATTTTGCTTTGCAAAGTTACCAGAACATGTCCCAAATCCCAGTAATGCCTGAATTTCCTAGACCTCGAGAGCCACTTCTGCTAATATTTGTTAGCTGTTTGGATCTTGCTTCTGTTGAAATTCTTTTAAAGATGAGGCTAATAATCTGCAGCTTGTCTGTCACAGCATTTGGTACCAACTTAATTATGCAAATCCACAGTATAATGTGGGATCCAGGCCAAGACTTTTTTTTAATTAGAAGTTTGGATATATTATTCTGTATCTCAGGAAGGTTGTCTTCAGGAAAGGCAGTAATTAGAAGCCTTCACAGTGCGTGGGTCTGACTCGGTCCTTAAGCTGCAGCTTGGCCTGGCTGGCGAGGTCAGCATCTCCTGGGGACTCGCTCTTATTAGCACTCGGCGGGGTGCAGTCACGCCCGGCCCTGCTGCTGCCCTTCCAAGAATTCTGCTTTGAGCTGCCTTCAACAATGCTAAATGTGAGCTGATTAAACAAACACTTCACTGGGCCCTGCAAGTCTTGGGTTTATTTAGATCTGCCTGTCTTCTTTTTCTGGAAGATTTTTAATTGAGGGGTAATTTATGTAAAAATTGCTGGGTCCAGCCTTTCAGAAGTGAGTCCCTGAAGCTGGAGACTTAAATGCACATATAGCAGGCTGAACTCCCACTTGTCCCACTCTGACCTGTGGAAGTGGATTGACACTGGGGATATGGGCAGAGGGATCCTGAGATGCCCTCTTGGGTCAGTGATAATTGTTGGCTCTTTGAAATCAAGACACCATAGGAAAAGCTGAGAGAGTTGGGCTTGTTCAGTCTCAAGAAGGCTGAGAGGGGATCTAATCAATGTCTGTAAGGGACTGAAGGGAGGCTGTCAAGGGAATAGACCACTCTGCTCTGTGGTGTGAAACAACAGGACAAGAGGCTATGGCAGAAACTGATGCACCCGAAGTCCCACCTGAATGTGAGGAAGAACTTCACTGGATCAGGTTGCCCAGAGAGGATGTGGAGCCTCCCCTCACTGGAGATGTTCCAGAACCATCTGGACACAATCCTGTGCCATGTGCTCTGGGATGACCCTGCCTGAGCAGGGAGGTTGGACCAGATGGCCCACGGTGGTTCTGTCCAACCTGACCCATTCAGTGATCTTTGTTACCAAATACTTGTTTCTGCTATAACCTCCAGTTGGTTCATTATGTTTAATGAGTCTTGGTTTAGGTGCATGGACTGTTTTGGGGTCTTTTAAAAATATTTTAGACAAACTGAAAACTGAGGAAAAATGGAACTGTCTGCAAGTGCCCTGTAGCTGGCTGAGGACACACAATCTGCATTTGGTGAGAGATAACAATGAGCCAAAGCCATGCAGTACCTTTCTACAACATATTTGTTACTACTAGGAAGCTCATCTCTGTGTCTCAGTGCTGCTCTCAGCCTTGCCCCAGACCTGTGTCACCTGAGGATAACTTTGCTTTACTCTGGTTACTGCAGTCACCAGGTTTACAAGGAAGATGTGGGGTAATCCTGAGTGTCCCTCTGGCAGCGTGTGCAGAGGATCCCTGTTCCCCAGGAGGCTCACAGGAACCTCTCTCACTTTGCATTTTCTCTCCTGTGAGCCTTGGAGCTCTCCCTTGTCCAGGCACCTCCAGGCGTGGTGCTGGAGTCAGTGTGTCCCTCCTGGGAGGAGCAGCAGCCCCTGAGCTCCGGGCTGAGCTGCAGCTCCAGCAGAGCCCAGGGCAGCTCTGCCAGGTAGGACAGGCTGCAGCCTGAGACAGCTCCCTCTGCTCTGCACAGCTGTATGCTCCTTTCTTTTTCCTCCCTGTGTGTATGTGCTTGGATCCTGATCACAGTGTGTGCTGGAGCTCTGGATTTTCTGCCTGCTGACAGACTCTTGCTGGATTATTACTTTGTGATAGCTGGCTTAAAAGAAGAAACAGGATCGTTGGGAGAGAAGTCTACTTAAATAAATGCAGTAGGTTAGAAGGGGTTTTGGTCTTTTGGTCATTGGGTCTTTAGTTTCCTCCAAAGTGGTGATGAATTAGAGTCACAAGATTTGATGCCAGACAACCTCTGAAAAGAATTTTGTATTCAAGTAGCGCCTTAATTTTTATTTTTATCTCAGTCCTGTGTATGCTGTAATTGTCATCTAGCAGGTTAATTTAGTAGTTTTGCCTTTGTTATAGGAAGAGCTTGAGATTGGTGTAAAACAAACAAACAAAAGTTTTTAAAAGAAATTGGGAAACCTGAGTCATGTATTTTATGAGGCCTTCTCCCAGGGTGCTTAGGCAATATATACTCAGTCTCTCTGAAGTTAATTACATTCTAATAATCCCGGTAAAGTACCTTCCTTACAGATGTTGCTCTGAATTTATTAAATCCTGTGGTGCATCATCAGTTTTGGTGGTGTCAGCTGGAGCAAAGGGCTCTGAGCAGTGCAGAGGACTAGGCACAACTCAGGAATTGATTATGAAAAGGAATTTTTAATTATTGTGCTATGCCTTTCAACTGTAGAATTTTAGACTTATAGCAGACAGTATTCGCTGAGGCTTCACACCACAAAGTGTTTATTAGTTGTTTATGTTTGGATTTTAATTTGTGCAGGGCTTACCAGTGTATGCATTAGTGCCAGATATAAATGTTCATATTTGTCCTGTTCTTACACACAGCTGGAGTGCTCCAGCAGCTTCCTGTATGTTCTGCTGTGTTACCAGTCTCTGCCATGTGGGAATGGGGCCCCAGTTTTTTTGAGTCCCGTATCAGAGTTGTTCACCCCTCCTCCCCTCAGCAAAGTGACTTTTCACATAAGATTGAACTGTTATTTTTCTAATCTCCTGAAGAAATCTTTCTTGGCACGTTCAGTAGGTCACTATGAAAAATGTGCTTTTCCGTTTGGCAGCCAGACTGCAAAGCTGGGGGAAGGGGAAGCAGAGAGGAAGGCAAGGACTCATTCCATTCAGGGATCAGAGTGAAATCAGCACTTTGCTTTTCTTAGAAGATCCAGCATAAGCCAGCACTTTGTTCTGGGGGCAGCCATCCCTTTTCCCCTGAAACCAGCAGTGGGTGAAGGGTCCTGGCTCACCAGGCTGCAGCAGTGAGGGCCATTGCACTCAGGCTTTATCCCAAGGTCTGGGGAGTCAATAGGTTGGAGACAAAGACAGGGCATTGTCTGAGGCTGAGGAGCCTGGTTTGAGCCCTTCCCCAAGGATATTTTATTTGTCAGAGCAAGTGGAAGAGGAACAGAAGTGTTTGGCTGGGTGGTGGGGCTGCCCTCCTTTGAGGGTCAGGCAAGGGCTGAGGTTCAGCTCAGCTCCTCTCCTGCTCCTCGTAGGAGGATTAGTGGGTTCTCCTGACCCAGAGCTGCTGGAGAGCTGAGAACCAGGCCTAAAACTGTTCTCCAGGCAGCTTCATCAGGTAGAGTTTCAGAGCTGAGATTGTTTCCTGTCTCACCTCAGCAAGCACAGAAGAAACAAATGGTGGAGGGTTCAGGTTTTAACTCCATTTTTGTGAGTAAGGCTCAGATTTTTTGCTGTTGTAAAAACAAAAGAGATGCTGCACACCTTCAGCAGCCTCTGTGGGAGTCACCTGCCCATCTGGAAAACAATTTGGCTCTCCCTGGCCACAGGCAGGAGCTGGAGAGGGCCAAGGTTTCTGCATCATTCCCTAAACAGCTGCTCTGCAAGAATTTATGTCCCCCAGTCACCTTCAGCACACTGCTGTGGCTGCCCACGGATTTTATCCAGCAGACTGGAGCAGGGATGTGGCTGACAGCTACACAAGGCAGCAGTGATGGCATTGCACAGGGAAAGCAGTGCTTGCCCCCCCTCGCTCCCTCTCCTCTGCCCTGAGAGGGGGCAGTTTGCAGGTGCAGGAGTGGGGGTCCTGTTCTAGGGAGAAGGGGGACTGGGAGCAGGCACTGGGGCTGTGGTGTAGTAGCAGCTCACGGGATCTTCACCTGGGCTGGGAATAGGGGAACCTGCTCGTGGGAGCTGCTTCCAGCTGCAAACCAAGCCCTGATGAACTTAGTTCGTTTCAGTGTTTCCTGTACAGGCAAATTCCCCTGTTCTTCCTAGGCAGGAAAGCAAACGACTGCCTGCCCCTGCCCTGTAGCAAGGAGTTGACGAATCATTTCCTTTTCCATATTTTAGTGAAATTGTGTTGTTCAGAGCTCATCTAGAGCATTTTAATGTTTTGAGCACTTGCACTCTTCTCTTCACTCTCTTCCTGCTATTGTCTGAAGGCTGGATTTTGTTTCTGTCTCCCTCCAAACAGCAGTAGTTACTTGCTCAAAGTGTTGCAGGTGAGTGCAAAATAATTTTTTCCCTCATTTTCTTGACAGTCGTCTTTTATTTTTATTGTACATAGGTGTCAGTGTAGCTTTTAAAGCATGAATGTGAGTTTCTATCAGTGAGAGACATCTCCCTAAAGAAAACCAAGGCACTGCTGCTGGTAGCTTCAGACCTTGGAGATCTTACTTAGCTGAATATAAGGTTAGGGTCATATTAAAAAAAATAGTTCTGGATTTTGAATAACAGACTTATTAATGCTGGGATTTCTTAACAGTGAACCACTGCTTTGTGTGCTTGGCTGTGTGAGAGGGAAGTTGGCATGTCAGCAGAGAGAGATGTACTGCTCTTAATTAGATGGAGCTGGACAGATCACCAGAGGCCCCAGTTTTAATTTAAATACCAGCTACAGTGGGGGCAGTTCTGTACAGGAAGTGGGTTTGCCTTGACCTGTATTGTGTTGCTCCTGGGCTGGCAAATAGCAAGATGAAGGGATAGTGTGATTTATTGTGCAGACACTAGAAGAGACCTGGAAAGCAGTGTATTTTCAGCATTCTTATTGTCACTCATGCAGTTAGCTAAGTACCAATATGTAAACCCAAGGAGCAAGAAAAAAAACCCTTGGACTTTGATTAAGGCTGTTGATTACATGGGTATCTCGGAAAAAAAACAAAACCAAAAAAAAAAAAAAAAAAAAAAAACCAAAAAACCCTGAATTAAAATAAGCGAAGAGAACACTGAAAATGGGAAGCCTGGTACCCAGCTTTTATGGGTAATAATCACCCAGGACCTGGTTTCCAGTTAGGCAGCAAGCTACCTGTGTTGTGAAGGGTGTAACTAGGAGTCGAAGTTTTTTCCCAAAGCTCCTCTTTCCTGATTTATATCTGCCCTTATTGTTATCTGTTATGTTCACATGGCTGGGTTTTTTCTTTTGTTATTTTGTTTTCCTTCCTTGTTTTCAAAGAATAGCTTATCTGTGTGCCCCAGAAGGGTGGGACTCCCAAAGATCACAGGCTTTTTACAATGAGCCAAAGCCAGCCTGCTGACTACAAGAAAATTTGCTGAGAGTTTCAGCCATGGGCTTTGCAAAAGGCAGTGATTGCACTGGTGGGACTCAGCTGGGTCCAGAGCAGCACTTCCACTGCCGAGAGACAAGAGAGCATCACCTCGTCCTGGAAAATCACTGCTTGTGTTCCAGTGCTGTGCATCTCTGCTGCCCTGTGTTGTGAACGATGGGAGCAGGAGGACACAGAGATGTTTCTGGACCCTTGGGTTGAATGTGCTCAGTGATGAAAGCTCCAGAGCTGGGAATGAGTCCTGAGCTCTGCTGGGATGTGACCTGGAACTGCTCACTTAAAGCCTTGTCACTCTGCATGTTCACTGTGCTCACCCAGATGTTCCATCAGGTTACTGCAAAGCCTGGAGGAGTCTGAACTCATTCTGTTCAAGGCTCAGGGTACACCCTTGTGTTCCTGAGGCAAAGACTAAAAGGAAGACACCAATTTGTCTGTTTTAATTTTTTACCAGGAGTCTTTGCAATGGATGATGGAGCAGAGTCTCTGATGATTGTGCATCTCCTCACCCACTTGGGACACTCATTTCCCCTGCAGCAAACTCTGGATCGGCTTTTGGAGTGGCTCTGCCTGGACATTCGCCTTTTCCTGGTGTCTGAGCGAGTTCCTCCACTGAAATACTACGACAGACACCGCAAGAGGAGCTGCAGCTTTCCTGGAATATCCGTCCTCCTTTTTCTGCACGAGGGCTTGGGAGAAGAGCGGATTTTCCAGGTCCATGAGGAATTCCAGCGCCCTCCCTGGCGGTACCAGCGTGCCCAGTTTGCCAATGGGCAAAGCTTCCCCCATGGCCCAGGCCAGCAGGACTTCTATGGCCTGGGTGAGCAGCTGCCCGTGTGGGGCATCAGGCGGGTGCCCTGCGGCCCCGAAATCCTGCGGGTCACCCTCTCCTGCAGCTTTGATAACTACGAGGACGCAGTGAGGCTCTATGAGATGATCCTGCAGAGAGAAGCCACCCCGCAGAACAGCACCTGGTGTGTCTTCACGCTGCACTCCGCTCCCCACGTGGCCGTGCAGCTGTGCCTGAAGCAGTTGCCCATCGGGGTGGTGGCCGAGCCCAGGGACTCGGCAGCCCTGCAGTTCAGGGTGCGGGAAATCGGGCAGCTGGTGCCCCTGCTGCCCAACCCCTGCGCTCCTATCAGCAGCACCAGGTGGCAAACACAGGACTACGAAGGAAATACAATTCTGCTCAAGGTACGTCTGTGGTGCTCTCAAAAGAAGATTTTATCTGCTTTTTTTTTTTCCCAAGGAAAGCAGGACTGGTTCAAAATGGAAATTATGATTTGTTTTCTTTTGAATTTGTGAATGCAGTAATCGGTGTCTGCCAGTGTTGTGATGCTGTTGATAAATATAAGCAGTGATCCTTGGAATGTTTTTATACAGTTAAATTAACATTATTACTGTTTGCCTGAAATGCAGATTATTAATGCCTTCTAGGGCACACTAGCTTAATATCTTCCTTCCTCTGCCTCAAAAAAATGATTCTAGCAACCTAATCTTTTTCTGATAAGTCATTGCTGTATAAATGTTTTTCAAAGCAGATTTTTGGCATCCAAAACCAGAAGTTTTGTAAGTGTAATGTTGATACAGTACCTGCAATTGAGGTTGTGAGATCACAAGTGAGTTGCAGTTGGGCAAAAGTGACGAAGAGATATGTCCTAGGAAATCTCTGCCTTTTCTGTTGAAGTGTGCAGTCCAGAGAGTATAAAAATACAAATTTTTAAAAAATTACAAAGTCTATGCTGAGATCATATGTAGTGAGAATTATACATGTGAGCAGAATAGCAGTTTGGCTCAGTGTGCTTTCTTTCCATTGTAATAACCCCTTCCACCTCTGGTTATTTTTTTCTTGTAATTTGGATTTTAAATTATTTGCCCTGGCTTTTCTTTTCCTTCCAGAAGTCCTCTGTTACAGATAAAGTTAATTACTTGGTTCAACCTTTTTTATAGTGCTCTGAACACTCTGTGTCTCTTCCTGCTGTAGACACAAGGTCTTTGAGCTGGCAGATGTCCATGAGTTCACTGGCATGAAATCTGGTAGCTTTTTTTGGGGATGTGACCATGCTGCACTGTGCTCCTTGCAAAGGAAGGTGTAATCCACTTGAACCTGAGTGTGTATCTTGTGTCCAAGCTCCAAACATCAGGCTGGCAGCCTAGTGCTTTACTCTGCAACTCTTCAACTCATATTGTAAATCTTTCTTCTAAGTTCCTGCAATTTACCCCCCTGCCCCGACCTTCTGCCATATTGCAAACTAAACCCTCTCTGCTCACAGACTCCACACGGAGTTGTCATTCCCCCCATAGTAACTGGCAGTGGCTCTCCTTTCCAAGTGTTTATCTAGGTTCCCCTGGAATGAATGTGGATTTTTTGTATCCACAACCTCCTTTGGCACAGACTTCCCCAGGTGTGCTGCCTCAGGCTGCGGGTGACCCCAGCACAGCGGGGCTGGGCGAGAGCATCATCCTTGGTGCAGCCAGAACTGAGTGATAACTGGGCTTTCTCTCGTTTCCCACAGGTTCAAAGCAGCTCCAGGACCCTTGAAACAAACATCGGGTTTTCCCAGCAGCATAATAATACAGGCAGTAGAAAAATCCCGCAGGACTGTGTGCCAGCCCCTCTCCCTGTACAGCAGGGTAATCCTAGGCGGAGAAGCCAGGAGGTCAGAGGTCTGAAAGGTAAAACAGAATCTGACCCGAGTGATGTCCTGGTCTCTGAGCAAGCCGGCAGTGACCTCCAGAGGCTCTCCTGCTCTGCTCCCGGGGTGCCAGCAGCCCGGCCGTGCTGGGAAGCGGCGTCGCTCCGCAGGCAGGGCAGCAGGCTGCAGGCTCCTGTCCCCGACAGCCGCCGGCACCGCGGCACAGAGACCGACGTGGACACCGGGCTGGCTGTGGGCAGCGCCGGCAGCGGCCGCTGCCCGCTGAGCCTCTTCCCCCGAGCCCTGCGGAGCAGCCTGCAGCCCCTGCCATCCCCCCGGACCCCGGGGAGCAGCCTGCAGCCCCTGCCAT